TAGACAGACCCGCACACCCACCTCTCGATCAATTTATATTATTTTTATTTTTCCATTCAATTTTTGCTCTATATGCATTTTCTGTTCCCTCCAGATTTACTTTTCTCCCTCCCTGCTAGGAGTGAGAATTTGGTCTTGGTTTCTTGGTCAAACAGGAAGCGAGATTGTTTATTCATTTTGAAATCATTTTCTGAACTTATGTACTTTATAGTTATTTAATAAATTCTATTTTTAATAAATTTATTGAGAAAAAAAATTAGGGGCACATGTTAAATTTAGGGCCTCTAAATATCATGGAACGGCTCTGCTTGGCATAGAAATTTGTTGTTGTGAAAATGAGTCGGTGGGAATACTGGGGGAAAAAATTGTATCGTATAGGAAATTGGGAGGTGCCAGGCCAGCTGTAGCCAAGTGTCAACTGCCCAACTGCTTCTAGCTAAAGTTACATAACCAGTCCCACCCATCAATATTTTGCCACGTGGGCGGCCGCGATGCCATCATGGTAAAATATTCGTTTCAGATTTGTGGAATTACTGCACCAGTTTTTTCCTTTATCCCCGTACTTTGACGCGCGTCCTGTCCAAATCCCCAGATATTTAAGGGGATCAAAGAGCGAGTTGTATGGACGCGCTGACGGGAAGAATGGCGATCTCGAAGTGAGCAAGCTTTTTTTCAAACAGACGCAGTTGATTGTGAGGGAAGGAGAGGAGAGACACAGAACAGAAGCGTACCTAAAGTCAAAGGGTGGATTGGGGAACCAAGAATCACGTGAGATTCATACAGCCTGGAGGTGGGTGGGTCCCCGTCCTACGTGGTAAAGGTTGGGTCTAAAATGGTTGTTACAAAATCATTTGTACGGATGGATGGTTTAGTGGATAAACGACGCACACGTTTTATATCTTGTTAATCTCAATCGCTATTCTCTTTATCTTCTCACCCCCGTAATAACGAAAACGGGGTTTGGGTCTTACGGGTGATTTGGATATATAATAGATTTTTTATTATTATCCTGAAGTAAAATATTTGACGTTTATCCCAACAATGATAATAAGGTTCCACCTTGTTTGATCTTATCTGGAGTTTAGATTTGGAACACAATTGTTAGGAAATTGAGTTAGATAAGGTTGTTTTATGGTGTAAACGATTATTTAAAAACAATTAACATTTTCCCTTCCTGAAATGACTAGAAATTCTTATTCTTGTTCTTGGAGGCAAAGTGATAAACTCATTTTAATTAATGATGTGATAATGATTGTAAGTTATCCTTAACCAGCCTTCTTTTATGCTTAGTCCCTCTTTTATAACTTATAATAAGTACACTCTCTAATTTGTTGTTATGTGACAAGCAATTCACTAACGAATATACACTTTTGATTATAGATGACAATTTGAATTCAAATAATTCCATCCACTAATGAAGTGAGTTGATGAAGATTAGACAAATACTTGCACTTTACATGACTCTGAGCTCTACTTAACTTTTATGGAATGAAGTGAGTTGATACAGATACGGGGTGAATATATATACATGATTCGTAGGCATACATCTTTGGTGTTGTTAGTATTGCTTCGTAGGATTAAAAACAAAGATGATTACACATTGACATTGGGATGTAACAACAATCCAACGTGTGAATCCTCTTAGTACTGAATTGAAACGCGACACAAATATGTCATGGATTCTTATTATGCATAAGGCCTGATGATGGCGACATTATTGATAAAAATACCTCAATCGTTGTGATTGAAAGAATTAGCAAATCATGGGACTTATACAGGATGCATACGGTCTCCAAATTACTGAGTTTGAGAATACTGTTGAAAAATAATAATATGGTGGAAAGCCTTGTGTATTATTATTGAAACCACATATGATTTATATACCGTGTAAAGATTGAATTCTGTAATAATCCTAATACTAATATGGAAATTATCTAATTTCTACGACTCTGATGAGGAATATAACTCTGTCCGATTACATACTAGTATATCACAATACTACTCGTACTACACATACTCCTATTTAAATAAATCCATCTCGATTTCTTATACACAAACCAATGAACCATCTCATTCTAACTGATCCATCTATAATTTCTATCTCTCCTCCTTCTTTCTATATTTTCACTTTCTCGCATTAATTCTTTGGGTAATGTCTATTTTTTATTCAAACCTTTTTCAGATTTTTTTAATTATCCAAACCTATTAAAATTCTATTAATAAGCCAAATCTTTCGTAATGCATCAAAATATTAGCCAGTTCTACGTTATCATTAATAATTTTGTAACTCTTTTCTTAATTGAAATACTAAAATTTGGAATGTTGACTTTCATGTGTCTCTTCCAAGTCTGTATCATGTTGCCAAGTCAATATTACCATCAAAATTGCTAACTGAAAGTTAACATTTGCCTAATTCTTAGTATTTCGATAGGTTTGACTAGTAAACAAGAAGCCGAAAAAAGGTTTGGACAATAAACATACATTACTCTAATTCTTTTCTAGACCAAACCTTGTGGTATGTTAACTCATAGATGCCAAAAATATATTATTCATCATGTTCTCAGCCAATTCAATTCGTTCTACCTGTTTGATTCATTTCGAGCAAACTCAAAACCAAACCAAACCCACCTTAAAACACTTTGGACCGCAGAAGGAAAATCGAAAGGAACTATATATAAATGTCAACCCGATTTTGGGATTGCAAAACCTAACAAGTCTGCCACCCTGGTTTTTTCTTTTTTCTTTTCCAAACACAGAAAACGGTTGAAGGGGAGTCGTTGATTTTGGGGATAGGGTGGGTGGGTGTTGGAACTACTAGTAGTAGGAGTTGAAAGAAAGCGAAACGCTGCTTCACTTACAGCTGTAAACCGAAAGAGGGAGGGAAAGAAGAACTGAAGAAGGGAGTGAGTGAGTTAGGGACTAGACAGCGGGCGGGAGAAAAGGATCAAAAGCAGTCAAAAAGGGTTGATTTCGGTTTCGGAAAAAAAAAAAAAAAAGGGAAAACGTTTTTGTTACACAGCTAAGCTCTGCCTTTTCTGTTCATGCTTTTCTTTCCATCATAAACCGCCAAAAACCGCTCTCTATCTACTACTCTGAACTCTGAAGTCTCTAGCCATTTGCGAGTGAGTGAGTGAGTGATCGGAGGGAGAGCGGAAGTTTAATCGCAAAATGTTTAGAATCAATCTACAAAATGATGGTGGTACGTACCGCAGTCACACCTATGCACCGGATTCGTACGAATATTGCAGGTTTGGACACTGAATTAAGAGATGAGTTTTGTAAAGATAATTCCATAAATCCGATAATCCTTTTGAAAGTATGAATGGAGAAAAATGCATCCCACTTTTACATGCGTTGAGACGATGTGTCGTTCCATCTAAATTAGTTATTTTATTATTATTTATTGATAATTTACTCAGTGTCCATCCCAATTCATTAATATATTAATTAGGATACCAATTTTTTGCAATTTGTATAACCAGTTTTCGAAAAACAACCCACAGAAAGGAAAGATATTGTCACCATACTACAATGACTCTTTTTGTCTATTTGCCCATGTTGTAAGTGGTAACTTGTTAATCACCAAAAGGAAACCAATTCCACAGGCAGAGGAGGACTGAGGAGAACTTTGATTGTTCAAAATGGTAAGCTTGCCTGCCTCCCCCAAATTTGGTCAAAATGACAGGTAATGCAAAACAGAATCAAAACTGCAGGCATACAAAATCCCCCCTCCAGACCTAATAGAATCATTATTCCCAAAAACCCATACATAAACAAACTGAAAGAAAGAAAGGAAAACTGACAGTCCCAGTTTCTTCACCCCCTACCAACTTACACAGACCCACCTTCCTGGAAGTACCCTTTTCCCCCTTCTAACGTTCATGCACCTAGGGTTGTGCAATTAGGGATGGCAATTTTGCCCATACCCATGGGTATTTTACTATCTAACCCAATTGGGTTGGGTATGGATTCCAAATAAATGGTAGATGGGTAGAGTTAGATGGATTTGTACCCATACCCATTTACTTGGGTTGGGTTGGGTTTTTAACAAATGGATTTGGGTTTGTACCCATGCCCAAAGGCAAATTACAGTTTGGTACCTAAACTTAATAGATATGCATATTTAGCACCTAAATTTAATTTTTTTTACATATAAGTCCTCAAAATATTGATGGAAAATTACATTTTAGTACCTAAAATTTTTTGGTCTTACATTTTGGTACCTAAACTTTTCGAGTTTTACAAATAGGTACAATTTTTGTGTGTGTAGTTAAAACACCCTCAAGTAAATGGATATCTATATCCAACCCATACCCATTTACATAATGAAAGCAATATCCATACCTAACCCAAATCCATCTACAAACCCCCAAACCCATATACACTTCATCCAAACCCTACCCATACTAAATGGATCTATTTGGATTTGGGTAAAATTACCCATGGGTGGGTAATTGTCATCCCTATGTGCAACGGTTCGGTCCGAATCGGACCAAATTTATGAGAATCGTAGTTCAAATGCCAATACCCGGTTTGATATAGTGCAATCCGACTAATTTGGTTGGTCTGATACAGTCCGATATGGACCAAACAGCTGCACATCCCCTACATGCACCTCCAGGTAGGTGCAGACACCGGACAGGTCCAAAACCATATCGAATTGACTTAGAACGTTCCAAAAAACAAACGAAAAATGAGTAGAAAAACTAAACCAAAAAAACATGTTTGGTTCTTTTGATTCGATTCAATCTGGTCCAAATTCAATCACTGTCCTTTCTCCCTGCTTACTTAAAAATCAAAATATGTTCGATCTGATTCGATCCAAATATCGAATCGGTATAATTCATTCCGGTATGAACGAGATTGTTGCTCACATCACACCCTCAAGGCCCTTCTCCCAGTTAAATCCAATCTATAATTAAATTAAATTTCATTAATGAATCTTCCTTGTCCCTCAACCTTTCCCTTTTATATATAACCCCCGCACGGGCCTCCCTTTCTCCCCCAAATCGAATTCCCTTCCCCAAACCCAAACATCCAAACTCTCTGCTTCTCTTCGCCACTCTATCTCTTCTTCTTCTTCTTCTTCTTCAACCATGGAGCCAATGAACACCAACCTCTGCTCCACATCCTCCAACACATCAGATTCCTGCTCATCCGACTCCTCCTCCGGCGGCCGATCCGGCCGCCCCGGGTCAACCCGGATCAAGGGCCCATGGAGCGCGGAGGAGGACCGGGTCCTGACCCGGCTCGTCGACCGCCACGGCGCCAGGAATTGGTCCCTCATCAGCCGTCACATCGACGGCCGATCGGGAAAATCCTGCCGCCTGCGGTGGTGTAATCAGCTCAGCCCCACCGTCCAGCACCGCCCCTTCTCCCCGGAGGAAGATCAAACCATCCTCGCCGCCCACGCACGGTATGGAAATCGCTGGGCCACCATTGCCCGGCTGCTCCCCGGCCGGACCGACAATGCCGTCAAGAACCACTGGAATTCCACTCTCAAGCGCCGCGCCGCCAGCAGAGGAGCCGGGGCTTCCGGGGAGGGGATTTTTCATCAGCGGGCGGCGTCGGACGGGAATTACAATCAGGAGTATTGTTGGAATTACGGCGATGTGGAGATGGCGGGGCCGCCGCCTGCGGCGGTGGTAAAGGAGGAGGAGGAAGAGGAGGCGTTGACCGCGCTGACTTTGGCGCCGCCCGGGATGGGAAGCGGCGGCGGCGGAGAACAGGGCATGGTGATGGGCAATGCGGTGGTGGAGGAGAGGAGGGCGGAGAGCTTGCCGGCTGGGTTTTGGGACGTGATGAGGAACGTGATTGCGAAGGAGGTGAGGGAGTATGTGAATTCTACGGTGACGGATAGCCCGACGTCCGCCGCCGCTGCCGCTAGTTTTTTCCGTTGAAAAAGTATTTACCGAATTTGGGAGCGAGCTGGCCGGCCGGTTGCGCTGCAAATTTCCGAAAACTGTTAATATCCTGAATTTTTTTATTATTATTAGGATTTGTAATTTGAGATTGCGGTGGGAGGTGGGAGCGGCGGCCGGCGTAATCAATGTAATTGTAAAAGTCCGATGAGTGCCGCTGCCGCCGAAACTCAAAGGCAATTGGTGAAGTTTGTGAAAGAAAAACAAAAAAGTTGGTCTTTAATGTGACAGCCTGTCCATTTCCTAATTAATTAATTGTCCCCCCTGATTTAATTAATTTGGTTCACGTTTTTTTCTTCTTCCTTTTGGCCTTTCTACTTTCTGGTCTTCAACTTGTGGATGAACGGCTTTCATTTGTTTGCCTTATTTGGACACATACAATGTGGGATGTCAAACTGGTTTGTGTGTGATAGTTCCTGGCTATCCAAGCTACTTCTGGAATCTATATCGTTGAATTCAAGGTTTCTATAAGCTAATCAATTGTTAACTAACAATCTTTCTTTGTGTTCTCAATCTTATAAATTTGTAGTGTACTTGAGAATTTAGAAATGTACACCCTTTTTTTTTTGGGTAAGAAATCTACACCTTCATCCTTGAAACTTATTTCATGAACCTTGCTTTGCAGTTTGCATAGCTCAACTTATTCATTGGGGTCGGAAAAGCCTACGACAATGGACACAACACTTTTCTTCATGAAATTCTAGAAATCGTCACATATTGGTTATTTTTTATGCTTCAAATTTCTAACTTAATGTCTTTCTCCAGTGTTAATATTCGATATTCGTAGCAAAAGCAAATTTGTTACTCATCCAGTCAGCTTAAGTTTGTTGGGGTAAGTGTGATAAAGAGCATGAAAGTTGGCTCGGAAACACGTACAAGACTTCTTACTTGTGTACCATTTGGTTTTTCTCTCTATCTCTTATAGGTCGTGAGAGATTTCTCTAATGGGTTGTGGATAAGACATGTTATATATAAAACGTTAAGTTGTATTGGAACTCAATTCAAAGTACAAGACATTTTCCTCGTGTACTATATCATTTTGTCTTTCTTGTGGCTGATGACAAATTATCAATAATTCAATATCTCTTTATTTTTTATCACGACAATTCGACATCTTGATAAAAATTTGTCTAATTCTTTTCATCATTTACTTCTCCCAATTCCTGCCTTCTGTGTCTTCTCCCTCCACATGAATCGCTCACACTATAGACTATACCCATGTATGCCTGCATCGAACAAAGCTCATCGTCACTCTAAAACCATTGAATACAAACGAACTTTGTGGCAGAGTCGCAAACATTAACATCTACATCATAACTATATTTTGTTGTTCACATAAGGTTTACATATTATCATTAACACTAAATACTTTGTATACAAGTATTGTCCATTTTAAATTCTATATCATTAAATATAAAGCTAAACAGGCTTTACTATCCACTAAGACATGACTCTTTGATTTGGGTTTTTTTTTTGGGGTTTGGCTTTTGTACAGTTGGTTTTTTTTTTCTCGGAAATCTTTCTAAATCAAATACTTTTATATTATTTTTTCATTATTGCGTTTTGTTGATAAGAGCCGAAAGTAGATGTCGTCTTACCATCACTCAATTGAAGAGAAAAAGAGATTTGACCATTTTGTTATTGGGTAGGAGTTTTTACTTAGAAAAATATTTATTTTGTCCATTTGAAAAAGAATTAACAATTTTTTGAAAAACAATTATATTGGGTGACGTAACACCATAGTTAGTAGAATATGATACATGTACTTTCCAACAATGATAAGTATGAAATTTTGGATGTCATTTTAACATAACAGTATGTTTAAAAGTTTGACACTATTTATAAAATACTAGAAATTAACAAATAAATGGGTTAAAAATATAAAATCAATATATTATCAATTCAACTCCATATAATAGGTGTGTTGAGCATTTTCTATGTGCCGAATAAGTGAAACGTTAAATAAAATTGGTTGTTGGCATTGAAGGTCAACCAAAAATTTGGTAAAATCTTATCCGCAATTTTTTTGATTTCAAAGTTTTGGTTCCAAAATCATATTTTTAGCAAATTTATCGAAAATTAATTATTAATAGAAATAAAAAAAATCAATACTCGATCCAACTACCCATAAACTAAAGTTATAAACTTTCGTTTAATGGGAAGAAGCTGGACGAACATGAGATTGTCACCCGCGCAAAATACTTTCTGGCGGACTACCAGCAGCACCAGCGCCGAGAGGAGGAGATGGACTCGAGGCAGGCCCCAGCGAGTTGGAAGCGACCAGCAAATGGAAGGGTTAAGATTAATACCGATGCAGGGTTGTTGGAAGGAGGAGGGGCTGGGTTAGGAGTAGTTGCACGAGGAGATGACGGTAAATTCTTGTTTGCTGCAACAAAGAGGGTGACGGATGTTGCCGATGCTGAAATGGCCGAGGCCCTGGCTGCAGAGATGGGAGTTCAACTCGTGCTCCAATTACAGGTTACAAACCCCATATTAGAGTCCGATTGCCTGAATATGATCCATAAGTTGAATGAACCGGGACTTGATCAGACAGAGATAGGGACAGTTTGCCGTAACATCAGGCGCATATTGGGAAGGACTGGAAATGGAAGCTGGCAACATTGCCCCCGCTCAGGAAATGTAGCGGCTCATATGAAGGCTCACTCGAAGACGAGATGGAACGAAAGAGAAGTCTGGATTGATAGACCCCCTGTTTTTATTATTGATCAGCTGCAACTGGATTTTGTAACCGCTTCTTCTGATTAATAAAGCTCTATAGGTCCCCATAAAAAAAGTTATATACTTTCTAATAGCAGCAAAGCGCGATAATCGTATCTAGTTAATTATTAAACCAAACTAAGGGGGGATGAGGATTGAGTATCTCCCAAATCTTCATATCTGACAAAAATATAATTGCCGAATTGGGCCAAGTACAGTTGAAAAATGGGCCAAGTGTAATGAATGACATTCAATGGATTGGGATGATATATAGGCATGGAGAAGAGGAATGAGTTTTATCTTCTATAATCCTTGTCGACCAAGTACTAAAATAAACTACAACATCATCATGTGTAACAGTGTAAGGCAATGTCAAATGGGATATGGGACCTGTCGTACCAGTGTACTGACTACTGACAATGTACCCTCCTTCCTTGCGAAAAAAATCTCTCCCTCTCACATGAATGATAAAGAAATGGAGCAAAATAGAAGGGGCATTCTTCATGTTGTATAATGTTCCTTCTTCATGTCAATCAATGCTTGTAAATAGTCATATTACCAAATGAACATAAAAGAAAGCAATTAAATATCATAAGAACTCTTAGTCGTAGTAGCAATCCAATAGTAGACAGCCTCTTGCAACCGCTCCAACTTTGCTTCAATCACCCTTGTTTGCGCAAACATATAAGCATAAATCTCCTTATTAAGCTTCTTAAGTCGTAACTTAATCTGCCTTAACTTGTCATACCGCCTATATTGAGGATACTGTGTCACTTGTGTGCTCCAAGGTTATTTAATTAAGTGAAGCATTTGAAGGGTGGTGTGTCCAGTTGTTGAAGTATTTAAACGACCTAGGTAATAATGTGTCAACATGGGGTAATTTGCAGTAAGAGTCCACAATAGTCAGACACTCCTAGAGGAGAAGTCTGTGATGTACTTCGAGGAAACACATCCATCCATTTTTCATTAATAAGGATACTACCCAATCTTTCTGTAATGTGGTAGCTTTCTGTTTGTTCCACCAAGTAAACCACGAACATGAAACCTTGTGAGCAACGAGTTATAACTTCTCAATCCAATCATGAAAGTCATCTTTCATACTGAGAAATACTACTACTATTTAAAGCTTCCTGAACCTCATCAATTGCATTAAAGCTCCCTATATATGACAGCCTTGAGAATATGAATAACTTGACAATCAATCAGCTCTAGATACCATAAGAACTACTATTGGCAGCACACCACTAACTTGTACCTGCAAGAAATGTTCACCTTCATCCAATTTAGTCACTTGTAAATGTGGTTTCCACTTTCCACAACAACCAAACACGGCCATAAAGGGATTTTTTAATGTTCATTACATATTATCATTGATACTAAATACTAGGTCTGACCATTCGGTTATCGGTTGTAGGTTAACCGCCCGGTTAAACCGATAACTGGCGGTTACCGATTAACCGGATAACCAAAAGGCGGGGTTTCGGGCGGTTGGCGGTAGCAGAGTTGGGAAGGTCGAATAACCGGCTAACCGACATTAATAACCGCTGGTTAAACCGATTAACCGGCGCATCCTCACCCTCGTAAAAACGACGCCGCATCTAGTTGAACCTACCCTAACCCTAAAACGATCGCTGCTGTCTGCTGCTCAGCTGCTCTGCATCCATCCACCATCGCGATTCGCGAGACCTCCCTCTCCCAGACTCTCCCTGCCACCGCCCTCACTCTCCCCGCCGCCGTGCCTGCCCTCACTCTTCCCTGCCGCCGCCGCCTGCCCTCACTCTCTCCCTGCCGCCGACACCGCCATCTCCCTCCCGCCTCCCCGACGCCAGTCTCCGCCATCTCCCTCCCGCCTCCCCGACGAGTCGACGACGTAAGCTGATGTGAGTAATTAATACAACAAACCTCTTTTGTAATGCCAGCAATAAATGACATTCCTCAGAATGTAACTTGTCAACGCTTCTTAGATAGGATAAGATGGACAAAATTTTAATCCTTGAGTGGATGTATGGAAATACTCCTAAGGTTCTCATGGGAAAGCCCAATGTAGTGATCAATAATGCAGAAACTCTGCTGCATTACAAAATCAATCTAAGGAGTAAGGACAGATTATTTTTCATTCATCAGCTTCCGTTTTAGTCCTTGAGAGAGTTTTGTGTAGATCTGTTGGTATATTAATAGGTACAAATTTGCTCTATGTTTGTTTTCTTTTTCACTTGGATCACGAATAATGATACTCGTCTGAATATATTTTGTAACTGTGAATTGCCACCAACAAAAGAGGTTTGCTGTGTTAAGCTTTTTGATTTTGTATAATGAGTTCTAAAGCTAATAAAATGGGATGCAGATGATGATGAGCCTTGGCTAGTTTTCGTTTTGGTTTGCTGTTTTGGACTTTTGGTTTTGGTTTGCTGTTGGGACATGGGAGGGGAGAGCAGAGCAGATGGAATTCCTTTCTTGTTCTTTTATAGGCATAAATTTGTTGTTAAGTTGTGATGGTAAGAATGTATCTCATATCCCAGACAGTTCAATGTAGAAGAAGAACACTTTTGATCCCATTCCTTGGCATTATGGCC